ACGGTAGTCAGGTACCGTAGCGAGAGAGAGGATTGTAATCTTATACGTTCCAAGTGGTAGGTATCGGGTGTTGCTTGTTTCAAACACCCGGGGAATATTAATGACCCATGCCGTTTTTCGAGGGACCCTCGTGAAGTCCCTCGATCGACCGGTTTATGAGAGGAATGAAGGCGGAAAGGTTGTTGCGGCCGATTACCGACGATTAGATGTCGATAACTTACCGATAATTGGCAATGGATAATCTGTTACGTATTGGAAAATTACTGTCATTTCGGAGGGATCGGTAAGCATTGTCCACTTTGGTCGGAGAAGATTGTAACGCGTAACGGGGAGAGAAAGACGGTTTGGGTTTCACGAGGGAGCTTTAAGAGCAGGATTATTGGCTTCTTGGTTGGGTATTTTCTCGCTCGTAATACGCGAGTGTCGACGTTGCTGATATTACGTGCGTTGGATTTTATATATCGATCGATCGGACTTTCGCTTTTAAGATTTGGGGAATCCAGTCGAAAATCGATGTAAAGAATAATTTCTGACGAAATTTAAGCTAGCAAGATTAACGTTTCGAGGAATTAAAACGATCTTAAAGTGAGCATCGGTAATTTTATAATTTAACGTGTTAAAATTTTCTTTGTTTAAAATATTATTATATTTGTATCGATATCCTTTATTTTTAATAAGATAAATGTAAACGTTCTATTCTATTAAATATTTATCGTAGAAACTTTTAACTTCCTTAAGAATCACAACAAACGATAATGAATTTTCAATTCAAAGATTGTAAATAATACATGATATGAAAATAATCTTATAACGAGTCTTATTCTGTTATAAAAAATTAACATAATCTCTCAACATTCAAGGATTGAATTCAACGCAAATCAGAATAATCTCGCTTCAAATCGAAATCTTATCGTTGCCAATGTAATGTAATAACATTTTTTTTATAACGATCTTGCTTCAAATCGTTTATTGTAAACGTTGTAAAAATATTATTTTGTAACACCTCTCACGTTACATAAAACAAATGCCATATCTGCACAGTGAAGTTTCTCAAGGATTAAACTCGACAAAATCTCGCCCCAAATCGGCCCTTTTCATTCTAACAGATCATCATCGTAAGAAGCACACGATCGACCGGGATTGAATCGAACGAATACAACGGGGCATAGTTATTCGCACGAGCATAACCCGGAAACGGTGATCTGACACGAGACCGGGGTCCGTGAACGTTGACACCTTATTATCGTGCCGCCTCGGGCCGCGATCATCCAGGGAGAGAAGAAATTGCTCAACTCTCTTCGCCATGGCGAAAGTCACCGACTGAAAAGAATGGCCCGCTAAACTATATTCCGATCGGAAGTCACGCGGAATAATCCCGTGCCAAGGCTTTCTTCCTCCTCCTCCTCCCCCTCCTCCCTCTCTCTCTCTCTCTCTCTCTCTTCCTCGACAA